TCCTTTCCAATATTTACTTCTAATTTATTTTCAAACCTTATCAAAAGAAGAATTTCTCAGAAACTCTAAACTAATGAATGAGTATAATCTCTCTTATTTTGACCCAGTTTTTACAGAAAATGACTTTATTTTCCCAATGGGTAGGAGATTATTTCCTTGTTTCTTGAACATGCAATCTTTATAATGTGTCATAGGTAGTTCAGTATTTTATATTTTTTTATTGTATATATATTTTACATCATTTTCCTTTTTGTATGGTATCTCCTCTCAGGTGTAGGTCCCTGTAAAATTCCCACCACCAATTACCTGTGCACCATCACCATAGTTCCTTGTGCTCTTCCCTCCCCTGTATTTGAAAAATGTTGACCCTAGAAAGGATTTAGAGTTTATGAGATGCCTTTTTGGCATTTGCTAGAATGATCATATATTTTTCAATAATATTTGGTACTTTTGGCTAAAATTATCTTTACATTTCTGGGATAAACATTATTGATCAAGGTCTAAAGTTATTTTGATACATTTCTTTATCGTATTGGTAACATTTTGGTTTAAATGCGCATACCCATGGGAGGCCATGGGATATACTAGAAGGAGCAAGTGTCTGAGTTCCAATACATTTGGGCCCATCTTCAGAGCCAACTGATTAGAATTGAATTGAATTGATTGAGTCCTGGTTCTGTCACTTCATAGCTTGTTACTTTTGACAACAATCACTTCGTGTTCTTTACATGGGGCCATAATATCGCTAACCTCATAGAGACTGTTGTGAGAGTTAAATGAGTTAACTTCTGAAAAATGCTTATTACATTATCTGACATGGTATATATGTACAATAAATGGTTGCTACTATAATTATCATTTTCCTGAATGATAATAGGCCATGTTTTTCTTTCTTATATCATTCTACTTTTTATTAATCTTACTGTATTATTTGTACTTCATTCTTACTACATTTCCTCTTCAGGATAATTTTATGAAATATACCATACTCTTACTACTCAAGATTAAATGGCATAACATATTCTTCAAAGGTGTGTGTGGGGAAACAATTGCCTTTATAAATTTGTGTTTTGGAGGACGTGATTCTGTAATAGCTTTCCTGTCTTCTGTATTTATTACAACACATGTAGATATTTCCAAATTTTTTTTCCAAGTGATAGAAAACTCTGACTTTCAGAAATTGTCTTTGCAACCTGACAATTATTGATTTATTATCTACGTTTGCAATTATTTCAGCACCCAAATAGTTACTGCATTGCCTTGTCTTATCTAATACAATTAATACCGACTACATCATTTTACAAAGGGAGTACCTTGGAAATCAACCTTTATTGAATTGTCTAAACCTTTTCAACAATCAGATTCTACTCTTATTTTTTTGTTTATATAGCTGGAATCTTTATGTGAACCCCAACCCACCAATTACTAATTGAGAATAAAAAACTTTTCTGAAATGGATGAGTAATCAGTGTCTGTAACACTTCAGTCTCCCTTGCAGGGCCAGAGGCTTCTGAACCGAATAACCGTAAATGCTGCCTTGGGGCCGCCCCCTGCGGTGCCATCTCCAGAACACAGCAGCACAAATAGTACTATTTGCTCATAATACTAGGCTGGTGAGAGTAATTGCACAGGTTGAAAAGAGGAGGGGGATCCTTCACCTTTTGTGCATATGTGGCATGACCCCCACCACACAAGAGTACACACTGGCTATAGCAGATGGGTTCTGTGTCTTAGAGTACGAAGATGACTCTGATGGGATGTACTGCGAGTTCAAAACCCCCTCCAATTCATGATGCACTGATAAGGAGAGAGTTTAACTCTTTACCTATGCATTTGCTTGGTTGTGGATTACAATAAACCTTCTGTTACAGAGCCATTACAAAACATTTAGAATTCTTCCCTGTGTCCATCAAAATCAATTAAATGTACTGGAAGAACACGCTGCCTGAGAGGGCATTACATCCCTATATCCAGCCTTCCTTAGTCTTCCATTTGTATGTGCGGCAGCAGGGGCACACGTTCACCAAGTGTGTTTAAATGTTTGCTTACACATCTCTTGTTGACTCGCTGAGGGAGAGGGACCGGACTGAAAATTGAAATCCAAGTGTTGTGAGGCACTGGCTTTTGAAGATCCATCAGGGGTAGTAGTTCTGAGACTCCTTCCAAAATGCAGAGGGGGAGCAAGGGTAAGTATTCGGGGACGATAATGTATATACATTATTTTAAGAGCTCATCTAGTGCATCAGTAAGTATACAACTTGATTGTTCCTGGGTCGTGTCCCCAATCACGCCTAAGGAGAAGAAAAGAGGAGAAAATGTTGGCTACCTCTAACCACTCTACTAAAGTGGAAAGTAATTCCAAGGTGAGTCCACCCCAGAGAGCAAATGGGCCCTTTTAAAATGCCATAGGGAGGCGACAGCAATTTCCTACTGCCTTTGAAAACACTCTCTAGTGACTTGGTGGCATGAAAATTTGCCCAGCTTCATTTGTGGAGGTCATGCCACCCCAGACGAAAGGAGGGCAGTTTACCAGGCTAAAATTTGTTTATAAAGTTGCTCTCCCCCTACCCAATGTGGAAGAGATACTAAAATAAAGTCTCATTTGCAATTTTCACTGTTCAGAAATTTCAAGCTAGAGTCCATGTTGAAGCTATGCCATCCCAAGAATTAGAAATTGACCTATTTGGGACCTTAACTTTACGATAAAACAATTTTTTCCAGCAATGCAATTGTAATAAAGTTGAGCCAGTTGGGGTGGGATCAGAGACACCTGGAGTGCCCCTCAGGAGAGCATGGCTTGCAATAGTGGACAGAGGTAAGAGAACTAGTGTTGACCCAAGTTATGTGTAGTATAAAGACTCCTTTGTTGACGCTCTGTGATAACAGTTCCTCATTTGTTCGATCACCCGGTATAAAGTTATATAATTCAGCCTTGCCCTTCTACCCGGCCTATGGCGGTAGCCACCACCTTCCTATTTTCAGCCATGGTAGTTCCTGGACTGCCAAAGCCACTTCCTATATGCCAGCCAAATTTGACTTCTAGAGTAGTGCAGGTAATCTGGCAAGTTTGGAAGGAGGTGGGGAGCAGCAGTTAGGCATTAGTCTCTTTTTTTCCCAGTAAGTAGAAACGCCTGCCTTCTTTTTGACTTATGCTGGAGTTGTGGGCATTATTACAAAAGTGCCAGAAACTGTCCCTGCACATTGTCCTGATGACTTTCAGAAGGCGTGCCAAACACCATGGGGGTGGAGGGTGTTCTCAATTATTTAAAGGGCAGTTTGTCCCAGTGTTCTCCCAACCATTGTGATCCTGCTCCTATTATCTCACAGTTAACAAACAGAGATTGATTTCTTGCCTAAAATTAGCAGGAGAATTCTATTTGAATCAGTCGGACAGAATTAAAAAGTATAATTAGCCTGAGAATTCACTCCACTCCTCAACCAACTGCAGCTTAACTATCTCCTGTGATGTTTCTGCACTTTCTGCAGAACACGTAGAACTCTACCGGGCGGGGTGAAGCAGTTCGTGGCAGGAAAGCAGCCCATGAATTGCTATGAGCTTGTCACTGAAGATCCTGCATATGCGCGTGTTATCAACTACAATTGTCCTGGTAAAATTAAATAAAAGCACGCGTTTATTATTGCGGGGCTCCAATTAAGGGACAGCTGGTGTTCCCATTACACTTGCATTAAATCCTAACTTGTAATTTAGCTGTCCAGATGCACATTTTTTTAATCAAAATATAACATTGCGTCTGCTTTGTCCATGCCTCATTCCAAGTGTCTGGAAGCTTACCTTAGGCTTCCTCGGACTCTGCAAACTCGGTGGAAGGGGAGCTGTTCGCGCAGGTCAACATTTCCCTCTCTGAGGTTCTGAAAGGGAAATACATGGGGCGCTGACAGAGGAGGGAGAACCCCGGAAGGCAGCTGGTGAGTACGTTGTTTCTTCCTTCTGTGAGCCGCTAGACTGATCCACCGAGGTCATTTTTGAATTCCCGATGCCACCTTACCTAGACCCGAGGGGACGCACTGGCGTGCAGCCTCGAACCCCGCTGAATTTCTCTTTGGCACTTCGGTTCCTGAAACTCTAGAAACTTTGCGGGCCCCCTCCCGCCGGGTGGGGGCGGGGGTGGGGCAGAGAGGTGCCAGCTCGGTCCGCTTCGCTTTTGTGAAACCCCAGCCTTCCGAGGTGTGAATGAGATGACGAGGGGCGCGGGCAGAGGGGCTGGGCCGCCGGCTGGGGGGAGGCGCCACACCCCCTGAGAATAAAGCCCGCGCGGCGCTCTCGGGGAGCCCTGCACGCAGGGACGGAGCCACACAAAGAATATATTTGGCGAGGAAACAGCGCCGTGCAGGAAGAAAGTGCCGGCACGCGGAGCGCGACTTTTTGGCGCTCTTTGGCGCGGCGAGGAGGCCGAGCGCGGGTGCCCGGCGGGCGCGGGAGCCGGGCGCGGGCGGCGGGCGCCACCGGCCGGGAGGCGGCGCGGGCAGGTGAGCGGGGTGGCGGCGGCGCGGGGAGCCGCGGTACCAGGCGGGCGGGCGCCCCGGGCCGAGGCGCCCCCGCCCCGGCGCCGCGCCCCGTCGGCCGGGCGGGGGACCCCGCGAGGGCGGCCCGGGAGTCGCGCGCGGCCTGGGGCCATCTGGTGGCGGGCGCGCCTTCGGCGGGGCCGGGCGGGGTGGGGGCCGGGGTTGCCATGGCAGCCGCTAGCCCGGGCGGGAGCCCCACGCCCGCCCGCCGCCAGGGTGCGGGGAGCTGGAGGTGCGCCCCAAGTGGGCTGAACCAAGAGCCCGGCAGCGGGGGAGGGCTGGCCCGGGCCTCTCCCCTCACGCCCTGCCCGCGGCCGGGCCCGGACGGACTCCGCGTCGGGGAGCGAGGTGGCGGCCGTGGCCTTCGCGCCCGCAGAGGAGGCTCGCGGGGCGGGGCGGGCCGGGGGCGGCGCGGACGGCGCCTCGGTCCCGGCGTCCGGCGGCTCCGGGCTGGACGTCCTGTGCCCGCCGCGCGGCGGGGAGCGGGTGGCGCGGCCCAGCCCCGAAGTTCGGTAGGTGGGGCGGGCTTGCATGTGCTCTCTCTCGCCTTCTGGGGCCGGGCTGTAAAATGGCGGCATGCCGTCCGCACCCCTGCTAGGGGCGCGCGGGCACCGGGGCCCCCGCGCGCCGCGCCGCTGGGCCGGGCCGCTCCCAGATGGCATGTGCCGCCGCCGCCCGCGCCGCCGCCGCGGAGCGCGGGGCCCCCTCGCCTCCGGGTCGGCGCCGGCGGCCTCAGGTAAGGCTGCGGAGGCGCGGCGGTGGGTGAGCGCGGCCGTCTTCCTCGGGCGCGGACGGAAGGAATTGCCTCTCAAACTTTATTTTTCACCGTGGTAAATAGGAGGGAAAGTCGCCCTGAACTTTGTTGTCATTTTAGGGCTCTGATCGCTCGCCTCGTCCCCCCTCGCGGCCCCCGCATTGCACTCCCGTGGCCAGCGCCGCGATCGCTGCTCTTCCCCACACAGGCGCGCGCGATGTGTGCGATGCAGGGAACCGCATGGCATCACCTCGGCAAATGCCTTCAACAACTAAGTTCCCTGTTCCCGCGGTCTCCTGAGCGTTGCCGCCGCTTCCTCGCCGAGCCCAGGCTTTTCCCGCTCTGCGTGACGGCGCTCGGGCGGCTGGTCTCGCCGCGGGCATCTGCAGGCAGCGAGGGCGGACCCTGGGAGAGGGTGGCAGAGGTGGCTTTGGTTTTTCAGAGTGAGCAGAATGAAATGGAGGGGAGGCGGGAAAGTTCACGCTCAGTGATTCATCGGTGCAGTTTGATCTGGACTGCAGGAGACCTACTGTGTGCTTGCTTGACTGCTGTCTGTGCTGGCAGTGTCCTTCGACAATCGAGGGATTGCTGTGTTTACAGTGGCGGTTCTTAGCGTTCTTCTTCCCTACGTGTTCCTAAATGGCCAGGGTTTGTCAGCTGTGCACGGGCGCCCACAGCCTAGCCCTGCCCATGAACTGCTCCTGGGAAAGCATCAGTCATAAAGCAACGATTGCAAGATTTAATTTTGAAATAATTGCTAGCTTTTCACTGTATTGACTCAGTTCTCGTCTGTACGTCTTGGCGTGATGACTGATACAATGCCTGGAAAATGGACTGAAATAGCTGTGCGAATGACTAGACACTGGAGCTTAACACTATTCACCCGAGATTTGTTTTCCCTCTGAGGAAAGGCACATCGATGATGAGGCTTCCCAGAGATCTCGGATGGTTCTCATTATATTCACGTTTTCTCTTTTGCCTATTGTAATGCAGTCCTTAATGTTTCAATCCCCCTTCAAATGGTTTTTCATTATTTCCCCCAGTCTGCAGTACTTTGGGAGGATGCTTTTATATTTATCAAAATACCCTAAACCTGGCCTAAGGACTTTTGCCCATACCCCAGCAGATATTATTCTCTCTCTGCCACCTTTTACTTCTCCCAAAGCCATAGAAGCTGCTTGGCTGGCAGGCTCTCCTGTGATTAAATTTAGCAAGCTTCTGGGAAGGGGGAGAAGTTGTTCGGCACCTATAAAAGCATGGGCATTTCCTGCCCAGGTGAGTCGTAGGCCTAGGAAGACCTGAGTTGTTTACAGTGGCACTTAGTATCTGCTACATTTTGTGTCTTGTTTTTTAGATTATTGTTGACACAAACATGTGGAGCAGTTCATCAGCTTCTCCTCTAAAAGGAGAGTTCCTGCAGGTAGACTATTAGAGACTGCATTTTTGCCAGAGCTGAGGGTGACCAAAAGCAACTTCTCCCATTTTTAGTGATGACATACTTTCATCTGGTTCAGTAAGCTTTACTTTCTGATGTGCTGTGCTACCTTGTTGCTGAGTAAGTTCCTACCGAATGTATTCTTTAAAAAAAGTAAAGTGCAAAAACTAAATCTTGGGGCCTGAAGAGACAAGCTAAACAACTCAGAGACATTAGGAGAAAAATTTGCCAGTTAACATTCTACAGCTTCATATAGTGATGACATTGGAGACCTTGTCGGAAAACATTAAGTGAAGGAGTTTGTCAGAAAAAAAAATATTTTGAGAGAGAATAGATGTAGTGGTGGGCTAGAGGTCGTGAGTGACTGCATGTTTTGTTCTACTCCTAAGAGCTGCTTCGTGCCTCTAATTTCTTTTGCTGCTTTAAGCACGCATAATGATTCTCAGGACTATTACAAAGTACCTTTTCTTTTTTCCTCAACTGTCCACTCCAGGCATGTCACAGAAGCTGCTTTTTAAGGGGAAAAAAACCTATGCTTATGAGCTAGTATCCCAAGTATATTTGGTATTCCCTGGCCCCCACCCTTTACCTAAGCAATGCCTTGCGGCAGAGTAGGTGCTTAATAAATGTTGAATTAGCAAGAAAAATGAATAGTTTGTAAACTCATAGAGGAGCAGGCTTTGTGCAGAGCTTTTAATTTAAACAGAAGACCTTTTGTGCACTTGCAAGAATCTAAACATTTAAAGTAGATTAGAATATGCATCTCCCTAATTGCCTGCATGCCATTTGCCTCAAATGGGTTCTCTTGCTCCCCTTTGTACTTCCAGGCACTTGTTCATCCTTTTGACCAATAGGTGTATTATCTGTCCAGCTCTACAATATGAAAAAGTAATCACAGCAGCTTGGGAAACAAAGGTTTTGTTTTTTGAGTGGCTGCACAGAACCACACGTGCGGAACAGTGACAGTCTCTGGGCTGCTGTGCAGATGCTTACAATAGAGTTTGAAGTACAGTTTTGTTCTCCACTCAGCTGTCTTTATATGTGAGCGGGAGGGGAAGGGAAGAAGAGGCTGCAAAGCCCCGAAACACATTGACTAGTTTCTTTCCTAAAAGTTTGCATTTATCCTGCTCATAGCACCATGCATTTAGGACCTTGGTGGAGTTTTTCTGTTTTGAAATAAATAATGTTGTCTGATAGGATTACAAACAAGGATTGGGGCATAGCAGACAAGAGTAAGTTACAGCACCTTTGACAGGTAATTTGATCCCGTAATTAAAGTTAGATAATGGTCACTGCCTTGTTAAAACTATCAAGTGTCTGAAAGAACACGGGAGCTAAACACACCTTGACTCCTCCAGGTTCTTCTCTGCTATTGGGTTTTCTGATGACAGTGTCCAGTAGGTTGAATAGATGGATTCCTCCCATTATACATGGACATGGTGTCCAGAAATTAGAAGTCAGAAAGTTGGCTCCCTTGTGGGACTTTCCTGCCTCTCTCTAGGTGAGATGCAATTCTCACTGCCAAAACAGAACAAAACCTATGCCTCAAATAAGGTGAGGTGGGTATTTTTCCTCTGAGAGAATAAACTGTGTTTGGGAGCAAGGAGTTTAATTGCCAACCAACCAACAACACACAATGTGAACAAAATGACAGCAATGGGATCCGATCTCATGTAGGCTTTTTGATTTAAGGACATCAGATGCAGACACCTACTCTTCCTCAATGATCCTATATTGCCTCAAGAAGTCAAAGGACAATGTTGGAAAAGCCACTCTGAGAATTAGGGTAAATAAGGTATTATCAGTTATCTTATCAGGGGTTAATGATATTCAGGTGACCTAAAAGGAATCAGAAAATATACTTTATTTTCAGATTCTTGTAGTAAAGACACAATATAAATTGATTTTGTTCTACTTGGTATTAAATTAAGCAACAGTGTTTTTAAGACTGTTGGGGAAAATCATGCAATCTGGAAAGAGAACTTTGTTTTTGTTTGGGAAACAAACACTTCCCTGTTGTCTGGGTACATAGACACAAATACTTACATGCATACATGTGTGTATACATGTGTTCAAATAAGTCATCATATTAGAGCAATTTATATGGACATGTGTTGTTTTCTCCTAAAAGATTTTAGAAAAATACCTATTTTTGCAACATTCCTTTATAATTCTAAGAAAGAAAGAAAAAAAGGTTTACAATGAACTATATTTAACCTAAGCAGTGTCTCTCTGAATCTCAGTAAAAGAGCCCCCACTCCGAAAGCTCAACTCAGGAGGAAGCAGGAATGAAAGGAAGCTTGGTTTAAATACTTGTGTTGTGTTTGTGTGGTATCTATGGGTGTGAATGTGTGTATGTGTGTGTGTTTGTTTTCCTCTATATGTATATTATGCTTTCCAGGAATCTCCAGGATCGTAATCCCAGAACTCTACAACAGCCACGAGTACAAAGTGTGAAGGGGAAGAAAAAGTAACCTGATTAGAGATTAAGGAATCAGTTAGTCACGCTTGTTAGAATACTACATCTACTCTCAAGTCCTTCCATTGACCTTAAATTGGCTCATGAGCAGAAGGAGTGATCTGTTTCTGGCTTGTAGCAGGAGTTTGTCTTATACCTACACCCTGGGGGAACTCGAAGTGCCCAGAAAGAAAGGTGGTCTGCGCAGAAGCAGGGAATTGGTTCTGGAGACCTTGTCTGTCTCTTTCAACTCCTTAGGTCTTGGGAGCATCCTGGAGACCAATCGTGTGCTGGATCTTATTTTCCACTTGGGATTACTAAATTGGTTTAAGATTGGCCCCATCTGATTCTTTGAATCCTGAGCCTCTTGGCATTGCCAAGAACTGGTGTGGAAATTTGAGAAAGGTTTCTTCAGGCTTATTCAGGTTTCCCTGGATGTAGGCGTATCTCCTTATTAGGCAGATTACTGGGCCTCCTTATCTCAGTATCCCCAGTGTCTGGCACATAGTAGGTTCTCAGCAAAAATTTGTTAAATAAATGGAACCATAAATTTGTCTTTCTGACTTTGTTCTTCTATTTTATGAGCGTGCTTCCTGTGACTTCAGATAGTGTTATGTCTTCTTTTATAGACAAAAATAATCAACAGCCAACAGCGAACATTAGGTTGACTGTCTTGCTAAAGTCCACCATAGCAGCTCTCTTAAGTTCATGGGCTAGCCAGCAGTGCCAGCCTTTGGGCTGAGATCTCAAGGAGTGGCCTGAAAGCCAGCTGCTATTTTTCTGTCACCTGTAGTTGCATTTGGTGTATATCTCTTCCACGTCCGGGGAAATCTGTCCTCAACAAGAAGCTTCAGATAAAAATGGA